TTCATTGTCGCTCCCCGAAGTCGCGTTTTTCCCCCCCCTCCCATGCAGAGCAATTGAAAATGGCCCAATAAATTGCCTGGTCTGTGAGAATGAATTGCAGCTCAGATATTCCTAAGTTGATACGCTCTTAGGGTACCTTTTTGTTTTCATTCTCTGTCTCTCTCAAAAAAAGGCAGGAATGGCCTGTATTCCCAATTTGCTGGCGATGCCGCAAACCCCTTGCGAGTACTTTGAATATGTATGGATTCCTTAAAAGAGTTGTTTGGAAATTGTCTGCTTCCCAGAAGTGCTGATGCTTAAAATGGTCATCTGACGTGGGTTTTGCCATTGGTCCGTCATTTCATTTTATTTTATAACTGCTTTAGCGTGCTGCAAGGCAACATTGTTCATATTCTTCCCAAAAGCTTCAGCAATGCAGATACTATGGACTAATAGTAACTGAAACAAAAGACCTTGCTGTACTTCTCGGCGTGAATTAGGAATCCAAGGTCAAACAGCAAACTGCAGTGCAACTTGTATGGGGGGTAATGTAACAGAACAAAAGTATTCACAAATCTTATTAGAGAGTTTAAGTGAAAAGTCTTCCTTAAATAGACTCTCACTCAGTAGATTGAAAAAAAAATTGCTTAGCGAAGGTGTGAGGAAATAGCTATTTTAGGACTACAATTAACTATATCAGCTCAATTTTAATGGAACTGGTACATTTAATTGTATTCCTAACAGATTTTCTGTTCTCCAGATGATTAACTTGCAGAATGATACCAGCTCAAAGATTAAAATCTCATCAAATATCTAATGGTTTCTGTATAATATAATTGTGTTTGGTTTATAATAGTTCTTTTCTAATAACCATCCTCTGTCCATATAGCTCTAGATACTATAATTAGACTTTTTTTTTTTCTTGATATAAATGACATGACCTTGACCTTTAGAGGTTAAGCAGATGTGGTTGGTATGGCTCACAATATCTTACATGTTTAATAAATCATTTATTTTTATGTATGTGTAATAAACAGAGTTTTCTTTCAATTCTGTTTAAAAACTACACAAGAGGAGGACTACTTTTTCTTTTATCTCCATTTTAGATAAATTAACAGAGGTATGTGCAACGTTAATTGTTTAAAATACCCTAAAGAGGTTTATATTTAAACTACTTTTTCTGTACAAGTAAATGGTAGGATGTATATCTGGAAAAAAAAAAAAAAATTGCAGGATTTGTGACTGAAGACCCTCTAAATGTTTTCCCTTGCTACTGAGGGCTGGAAGAGGTACCTTTTGTTGTACTGTAGTTCCTCAATCTCGTTTCTTCCACTTCCTATTAGTTTGCTATTACACTCCCGGATCCTCCATAGTGCTTGCAAGCCATACTGTTCAGGGTATTGTTAGCAGTCTTTCTTCTTGCTGGCCCTTTTTTGTTCTTAGCTCATTCTGGCAGCTTATTCATAAATCTTTGTCATGCTCCAAGTTTCTCTTGCTGCTTTTCTAGTCTTTATTTTGCTTCAGTTCCTCCCAGGAATAACAAAACGTTGGTTCATCTACTTGTAGGAACGAGTGGGATTTTTTTTCAAGTGCTGGTGTTGAAGGGCTGTACTCTCTCTCTCTGTTTATATGTTTGGATGTGTGTTTTAGACAACCATCAAAAGCATAACTTTGCTCACAGATGTTAACTGAGCAGCCATTCAGACCTTACTACAAAGCTGCCATGGCTATGGAAAGATAAAGCCTTGTGACTTCTTCAGCAGGGGAGTCCCCCACCACTTGCTCTCTTGCAAGTGCTGCTGGAGACGGGGGCTGCTCTCCTTTGGCACTTCTTCCTTCAGTCCACGCTGGAGACGGAGGCAGAGTACTGCTTCATTTTCCTTCAGTCCTTCGGCACGTGTCTGTGTGTGGGGTACGTATGTATGTCTAGCCCTTGGTGCTTCAGATTTCTTCTGAGGTACGGTCTACCACTGCATTTCTCAGTGTGACAGAAGTGAATGTTTTTGCTCTTGTTTTGCCAAATACATGAGATATCAGCATGGGTTTTCTCTGGGGATTTTTTTTGCATATATTTTTTTAGTTTCCTGAGAACTTAGGCTTCTAGTACCATGTGGCTTTGTCTCAGGAGAGTTGTATTTCTTAAGGAAGATTAGTCCTTCGGGTCAGCCCTTCTGTGCCACGCTGGAGAACCTGCTGTCACTGATACTGGTATTGCACTGGGAGACGGGAAGGGAACTGCCAGTGCTTCAGTGCTGAAGGGGTGTGTCTGTGTGTCTGTATTTTTAATGTGTGTGTACGTATGCAGTGAGCCTGTCCTAATGGTTTAATTAACCCCGATGCCTCATGTATAGGGTAGAAAATAATTGTCCATTACCCCTGTCTTTTCTAATATTTTTTTTAAAACACTGAACAACTCAAACAGTTCCCAGAGATTTCTGGTGTATGTGATGATTAAAAACTGGGAGGCTTTATTTTTCAGTTTTTTTTCCTGGTAACTAAATGGTTGCTGGTTTTGAAGCTTTTGACTATGCTGGCATGGGTAAAGGCAGCAGTTTCTGTAGATAATTTTCATGGGAAATGTTACTCTGGGCAATTGTACTTCTAAAAGAAATTTCTCCAAGAATTTCCTTCAGGCTTGTGTGTGTTTCTTAAGCTGAGTTTAATGAGATGAAAAAAAAAAAAAATCCTTCCCAGTGGAATACCAAAGTAAATGCTTACTTTTTTTTGGTTGAATTTGCAATATTGAGGTTCTAGATGTCAAAGGAAGCAGCAACAGGTACTATATACAAATGAAAGTAAACATGCTCAGGCCATGTGAGGGATGTTGTATTTTTGGCAGGCTCAAAACCTAGCGTTGGTGACAGACAGGGGAACTATCCAGCTGTAAGAAGTCTGACGGGGAAGAAGTTGCATTATGAGGTGCCAGGTATCATGTACTGAATTTCATTGTAATATTATGAAATATTAAGGAATATGAAATTACAGTAGTGTTCATGCTATGAATGGTGCTATTTATGTATGTTTGTAATTAATTTCACGATCTCTATACCTAGGTTTTCTGAGCTGTAAATACAAGCCTACAGTTTTCAGCTATTTCCTGTAAGTCAAAATACAGACATGAGGGCAGTTAAAAGCTTTCTTTAAATGCTGCCACCGCTGTATGCATCCTGGTGAATAGTGTTTCTAGCATATCCCTCTTTTGGGGTTACTCCTTTCAGAAGAGCTGAAAAATGATGGAAGAACCTTTTGGTGCTGACAGCTGATAAGCCGGTCAAAGGGAGGACAGCTAAACGTGAAACGTGGAAGATAGGGGAAGACCACGGGAGTTATCGTGTATAGACAGTCAAACTCGTGTCTTTTCAGGAAACTTCTGGGCTGAATAGACTCGTTAAGATATTAAGGGAGGAAAAAAGTGAACCATACCAAAATACTAGAGACAACTGTTGAAAGAAGTAAAAACAGGGTTGAAGTGGGGTTTTTTTTGTGTGTGTTTTTCTTTTTTTAAGAGGGGTTGGACCAAGTGACATCCAGAGGTTCCTTGCAACCTAAATTATTCTATAATTCTAACTGGTTTGGCATTAAAGGCAAAACCCAGACATTACTATGTTCTATTTAAAATGAAAAATAGATGGTGCTTAGAAACTCTGAACTA